AGGTGTAGCGGAGATGGAGGATGACTTAAAAGCTATGAATTCTTTTTTTTGTTTGACTCATTGATTATTTGTTTAGGGTACAAAAAACGTATAGAGCGCTAGCTATGACGACAAAAAACCCATATTCCTCCTCTCGCCACAGGAAAAAGCCAACCCCCCAAGCCCCTCTGGTATGGAGCCAACCGCACATCTCGCCTCAAAGAAAAGAAACCCAAGCCCGGCTAGATGGACGAACAAGGAAACCCTAACTAAGAAGAAAGCAGGAAGGGGCAGGAAAACCCGCTGAGAAATCCTAAAAAAACAAAAGAAAGGTTAGTAGCAAGCCACGTAGGCCCCAAAGGGCGAGTGCACTCATTCAAGCGGGAAGCAACACACGAAGCGCACTAAGATGGGCGGCCCCCCCCAGACCCACTCCAAGGAGACAGTGCAATACCATGGAGGGAAGGAGGAGACCAGCCAGCCGTGGGCGATAACCGGGGGGAGGGGAAGGTGTAGCAGTAGGGTGCCAGCCAATCCGACCGTAGGGAAAGGAGAGTGGTGGGGTAGACCCAAAGACCTTAAACATCGTCTATCGGTAATCGCGTTCGTGTCTGACTAGGCAGCCTCTTAGGGAAACAAGAGAATGGGGAGATCGACCGTAGCCTGTTGGCTGTTCTTCCCTACTGCAACTGTAGTCCCAGCCGTCTGACGATGGTGGTTAAGGGGTTGCCGACCGTAAGAAGGCTAAGCGAGCCAACTCAGGAAGAGGAGAGGACTCCCCGCCACGCGTGGGGGGAGGAGGGAGGAGGAGTAAGGAAGATCATCAACGGCCGCCTGGGCAAAGCATAGCAGGTGTTTTACCACGTCTCTCATGTAGTCCCTTGTTCTGGGAGAGATAGCGTCACTGTAGTGGAAGGGATCCCACCACCTGCTAGCTAGCCGAGGAGGGCCTCCGACCGACCAACCCCCAGGGAGAGAGAGGGCCCTGCGACGGTAGACTAAAGTCAATACCCAGGGCGTGAGAGGAGAGAAGAGCCAGACTCCCCCAGGCCAAGGCCAAAGGCAGGAGTGAGCAGGAGGGTGGAGAAAGTTTTGCAAGGAAACAAAAAACTCATGATAAAAACCCTGGTGTTGAGTTTTCAATCGCCGGAGGTGTAGCGGAGACGGAGGATGACTTAAAAGCTATGGAGGTACCTTGATATTTATAGTCCCCGTCTGGCTGGTCTCAGCCTACATCCAATCCCTTACTGACTTTGTACCTGCCATACTGACGATTCAATGTCTTTGGAGTGGGAACTCCCTTTGACCCTGAAAACTAACTTTCCCGCTCTCTCCCTGAGGGGAGTGATTAGTTCCATCAAAGGACTTATCAATGACTCTTCTATGTGCATAGCTTAGAGTGCATGACGAAGATAACTTGTCCAGTGAGTTGTTATTTAACGAATCGTGAACTGGTCTTCCGGATGACCTAGTTTACATGAGCTAGCGGTAGTGCGGCTACTTCTCGGAAATTGCAGTACGAAGACTTCGCGAGGTCATATCTTAATAACTAACTGACTAATCCCATTCAACCAAGTCTTATCTTATAGAGCGGAGCTCCTTCTATGTTATCCAGCCAAAGCCGCTTGGTTGTATACCTCGTATCTCCGCAGAGCAAGCTGCATAGATGCCTTATCATTTTGTACAAGACTATGATATCGTCACGATAACTACAGCGGAGCCCAGCGTCAAACAGGTGACCTTATGTATTTTGTGACATGCCGCACCGATTACACTAATATGTGTAACAAAAACCCTTCAGCATTATCATGGCAAAGGAAAGAATAGAATAGGAAACCCCTAAACTGCCTCTACAGGCGTCACCAGACATACAGTCCTCACATCAGGCCCACAGTAGGACCCTGGCAAAATGCCATGATGGGGCCAGCCAACACAGCCCAGGAGGCAGTGCAATATAAAGGCAAGGCTGTTGGTTGTTCAGCCAGGAGCAGGCCACGAGCATGGGGGAGGGAAGACAGGCGAGAGATGCCAGCAACCCTTGAGCAAAGGGGGCAACCAACACTGCTCCGAAGGGAAAGGGTAGACCCCAGCCACGAGGGGCCCAGTTGTAACAAAGGTTGGATAATGCCTGTAGTAACATCAGAGCCAGGCAGAAAGTGCAGAACTGCCACAGCAGTGGCAGAATTGAGAGAAGTACAAAGTAGTAATGGTGCAGAGGAGAGGTGGGAGGAGTAGGCCGAAGCACTACCACCTCAGTGACAATGGGGCCCAAGGGCCCAGGCAGTAGGATGCCAGCTGATTCCGGAGGAGAGGAGAGGATAAGGGCAAGGCAGCCAAGATCCAGCCAAACAATATGGTAGGAGGCTGCAACTAGGGTCACAGAAGTAGGCAAGGCTACTCCCGATAGCCCAGAGAACCACCATCCCAACTGAACGTCCAGCCATCACTCAGCCGCCAAAGCCAACCATGCTGATGGTAAGTGAGGTGAAGCCAAAGCGGGGTAGGAAAGACAGAGATCTCACGATGAGGCCCCTAGGGTGAGGACAGGACCCCTATCCAGCTGAGGCGAGATACTAGATGAGAGAAGGAGTAGACAAGAGGCCCCCATGGGTGGAAGGCTAGAAAGAATCAGCCTGCATACCCCGGTGGAGGGGTGCATGGCTAAAGAAAAGTGGTGATAATTCCTCGGTGTTAAGTCGTTCCCAACTAGGAAATATTTTTCAATGACTGGAGGTGTAGCAGAGACAGAGGATGGTCTGAAAGCTAAAGAGGCACCTTGATATTTTTATCTTCCAGGTCTGAGTGGTCAAGGTCTACATCTATCTAATACCTAACAATATACCTTCTCTATTTCCTACTCCTTACTAGGGTAATGGGAATTAATTTGATCATGATAAACTTTTCGTCTTGCTCAGACTATACTCTCTATCTATTGTAGTGTTTCCACCAGGGTGTTTGAAAACTCTTTTGCAAAAATGCATGATTCCTTTGCCTTGGAGGTTTAAGTATGAGTGAGTAGTCTCATCTTGAGCCAACTCACCATCCTCCTTACTCTGACTGGAGTCATCAGCTCCCTTGAGACACTTATCAATATATCGTTGACTTTACCACTCAACTGCATTGACTTTGAGGACTTTCTGGCAAGATCAGACTAGTCAACATTGTGGGAAAGTCTCTCAACCACAGATAGGCTTCCTGCTGGCTCTATACTGTGTGAGCACTAGACTGGGCCCCATGCCTCATGCATATGGGCATGTCCCAATCACTTGTTGAACTGTTGGTAATTTTGTTCCTACACTTTCTGTCCATGTTTGTGGTAGTCAATCTCCTTTAGCTTGTAGCTCCATCATTACCCATCCAATTTACTATGTTCCACTTTTCAGACAGAGCCTAAGGTCTCCTCTGATATATCCTGGGAACAGCTTTCGGTCAGTGAGATAGCGACAATGTATATAGTGTCATGAAGCAGGCTTCAATTTCATCATTTTATACTCAGACTGACTGGATGCCAAAGTCCTGCGACACTATTCCTCTGTGGGGACCCAATGCCTCAGCCCGAGGGGGGTGTTTGCTGTAGAACTTTCGAGGTTTTCAGGAGGTCTGTGCATGGGAGAGGTCTGTACATTCATATGTATAACAGGTGCAGGTGGGAGCAGCTGCAAGCTAGGACAATTGCTTGAAATTTCAAAATACTAACAACTGGTCTAATCTAGGTCCAGATGTAATTTGAATATAGAGCTACCTAATCAGATATGTGAAATCTACCAGACATGGATACAATCTGACTCAATACTCAAGTATTTGCCCATTCCTATCACCTTTACTATACTAATAGTTTCATAAAATAAGACCATCAGGTAGATGTTTTAAAGCTAGCAGCCAAGAGAGTAATTTCTATATAAGGTGTCAATCCTCAATATTGTCATATAAGTACAAAACCTTATACTATGTAGGTAATCAGCTACCACCTTCTTCAAGTTTCTTAAGCAGCCATATAAGCTCTGAACTACTCTATATTATCTATCATATCTGTTAGAATATTTCCCAAGCTGTACAAACCCGGAAATTGTCAAATTAGAATACTTTTACTATATTAAGCAGAAATCATATTTTTATAATAGTTAGACCAAGCTCCTGGTTCATTCTCTGCTTCATTTACTTCTTTAATCCTATTGCTAATGGCACTGTAGGAAACTCCCACCTGTCAGTATGGGGAACCCTGTCTTGAATGAAAATTTTCTACCTATTCTCCATTGCTTTTCTTTGTTTATTTCCCTCAATCAGACCATAGATGAACTACTGCTGCTTAAATTATTCCTCGATTTTTGCCTTTTTCAATTTTAATTTTTTCCTTGCCAGTTTACTCTCCCAGATATTTCCTTGTCCCTGATGACTCCCTCAGGATATCGACCATCAGGGACAGCGGTGTGCGAGTGTGGTGGCGAATCTATTCGTCAGAAATCGGATGTCTGCGAAAGCTCCTTAGACTATCCCTTGGATCCTCCCTTACTAATTTCACTCCTGCAGCTCGTGTTTCTGCAATACCGCTTGAACCTCTGAAGTACCGCTTTAGTCCGACCCGTTGCCCCCGATTCCCCCCTCTGGAGTCTCCCCCCTAATCTCCCATCCACCGACACAGACTTGAAAACAACAAGTGATGTGATACGAATATTCGACTCCAATGCTTGTTGTTAACTTCTTTACCGTACCTACTTCCGTGCATTCTGAACCTACCAACCTCCCGCTGACCGAATAACTACTCGAGTAGCAAAATGCTGTCAGACACACCAGCTCCGCTAGTCCGTAATATTCTTACACGAAAAACGATTGGCTAGTTTTTATCTACTCTCTTCCTATTCCAGCATAATCCCTATAGATATAATACCACAAGAGTGTATCATTTCACGTGATCTCCACGTGATCGCGTAAAAAGGCTTGCATGTTCCTTTCCCCGGCAGAGATGGAATATATGACACCAGCTTTACGGACAGTCAGAGCGATGCTACGCGTACTCTTATGCCGAAGTTCTTGTGCCAGATATATAGTCAGCTAAATCATTCCTTCCCTCTAACCCTCTAACTTTTCCTACACCATGAAAGACAGTAAGGCCAGCATGGTACAGTACTGTACAGCCCGGCCATGCATAACCTGTTTGATCTAGCCATGTCCCATTCACCAGTGAGCGCTATTCCCATTACCGCTGCTCTTGCTAGCTTGACCGGTTGAGAGAATGCCTCTGTTCGGGGTTGGATTGCTTTCTCCCCTCCGCACGCCCACTCCACTCCCTCCCGCACTCCCTCTGCCTTCCCAGTTTTTCCCATCCATATGGCACCCGCTTCTGAACAGCTAAATGACATACGGAGGGTATATATCCCGACTTCCTCTAACCACCCACCGGCTCCTGATTTCCTCGATTCTTTATATGATACTTTTCATTTTATTCTGTCTCCTCGAGCAATCAGTATCAAAGCCTCTCTGGAGTCTTCCCTCCCCGTGTGCTTAGTTCTTTCCCACTGTCCAAAACGCTCTTCTTTTTAAACTTAACTCTAAATATACCGGTATCTCTTGCCTATGCAGACATCCCTAAGTTTTGGTCTATTCCACCGAAGCCATCACTTGATTCCCCTTACTGTTGCCTATCGCTTCATTACAACCAGAAACCCCTATCGCGATAGGTGCTCTGAGTCCCCTGCCCTCCCTCCCTTCCCACTTGGCCATTCTAAATTGCGCCTTCGCCGTATGATAAAGACCCAGGGAGCTACAATACTACTTCTTGATGTTATTTCCTTAGCAAGTTTCTTTCCTCTAAATCCTTTCCTACCCATTTCCCTTTATTTCATGTTTCTTCCACCGTTCTGTTTTTCTTACCACTCTCCGCAAGCGTAAGATTTATTTGTATGCTTCAGGTATGAAAGACTGTTATTTTCCTCCCCACACCAGTCACCTGCCCTCGTAGGACAGAGAGAAACTTATTTCTCTTCCGTTTATTCCTATTAGTTTACCTGAGGGCAAACGGTGAGAAGGACGAAGAAAGGGAGGAGAATAAACAAATAAATTTTCGGTGGTAGAAGGAAGGAGAGGAAAGCGTACCTGCCCTTCCCTCCAACCTCAACCTCCCATAAACACATACTACCTCTCTCACCACCACGCAGCTCTCCCACCCCCTCCCCAATTTACATAAATACCTCCGAGGGCCCCGTTCCTATCAGGGCTGTTTTCCCCTCTCCCGCTCTCCTTCCCTTGCTACCCTTCCTCCCTCACATCCTACCCCCAACTCCTTCTCCCTCTGGACAACCAACACCAAGACCACCGCGCGGTGATTTACCACTGCTACCGGTACGATAAACACCACCACCATAACAATCCTTCTATCCACTAATCCCCCCAAAAAACTGCTTCCCAAAGCAAACCAAGAGCCTTCGTGTGTACTCCAAAACCCACGCACCGCTGCTTCCTCCCTAAAGGAAAAAAAACCCCCTCACACTTTTTACGATACGCAAAAGCACTAAATAATCACCGCCTATCTCTCCCCACAAAATGAGCGAACCAGTTCTACGTCGAAGTGGACGGAATATCGCGAAGAAGGAAGTGGCCCCTCCCCCGCCCGTGCCAACCTCCAAGAAACGCGTATCTGCGGAGCCCAAGAGGCCCGCCTCGAAGAAAGCAAAAATGGCTGTCGATAGGGCTGCCGCCGTTGTCAAGAATGCCGTCGGTAAGGATAGGGACAACAAGAAGAAACCAGAGGGCGAAACAACCACCTCTGTGGCGGCTACTGAACAGAAGGCCGCAACAACTCCGGCGACTGCATCCTCCTCCTCCGTTGCCGCGGCGGTAAGTGCTACCGTTGTTGCTGCCCCGGCTGTCACCAAATCCGCTAAGGCGAAAGGTGGAAAGGCAAAGGCAAAGAAAGCCGACGTAGCTGAGGATGCGGCGGTGGCTCTCAAGGATGGCGATTTATTGCCAATCACGTTACCAGAGGTTCAGACCCATGATGGTGGGAAAACCACTTTGACAGCTATTCTCGCGAAAGCCTCCAAGGGGATCGTGATCTTTGCTTATCCTAAAGGTATTTTATTATATCTGCGTATTTATATGTATTTGCACTGGGGGGCCCCCCGCGCGCTATGAGAGAACTAAAAAAAATTGCCCCCCCCTCCTACCATCACCCCATTCCCCGCTATGGAGAAATTCAAAGCTAACAATTCCCCCTCACCCCCACAGCGTCCACCCCAGAGTGCACTACGCAAGCCTGCCTCTTCAGGGACAATTACACCGCCTTCACTGATGCCGGTTTCTCCGTATATGGCCTCTCGGGTGACCAACCCGGTGTGAACGAGAAGTTCCGCAACAAGCAGAACCTGACATACACCCTCCTCTGCGACCCGACCTACGAGCTGCACGAGAAGCTTGGCATCAAGAAGTCGCCCAAGGGCACCATCCGTAGTGTCATCATCATCGAGAAGGCCTCGGGCGACGATGCCCCCGCCGCGCACCCGGGGAAGATCCTGCGCAAGACGAAAGCCTCCGCCCAGGTGTCTCTCCAAGTCGCCAAGGAGGTCGTCGGCCTCGGGGGCACGAAGGAGGCGGATGGTGGTGGGAACAAGGATGCTGCCGGTGATGCTACCTTGCCGGATGCTAGGGCTGCCGGCGAGGGGACAGCCTAACTCTCTCTTGCCCTCTTCCTCTTCCTTTTCTATCCATCTACCCGATCCTCATGCTGCGCGGGATTGTGCGGTCGCTGTGTTAGGAATTTCCTGTTTACTTGTTTGTCTAGTCATACCCGGGTATACGTTTAGTGTATATTCATCCATCCTCGGGCCAACAGTAAAGTTCGGATCACGGGAACTAACGTGAATGGGGGCAGAGGTGAGGAGCGTGGGAAGGGGGAAGGCGAGCTTATAGGTAGGGTTCTTGCTTTGTACGTCCTGGGTTCAAAGTACAGTAGATGAACCAGGATGGGGAGGTTTTCCTTCCCCCTTCTCGCATCTCCACTCATGGAGCTCCTTTTTTTGACCTTTTCTGTCTTTTTGTTTCCTTCTCTCCATCTTCGTTCCTCCTTCCGTATCTCTTTTTCCTCCCAAGTTATTCTTTTCCCCCACCTGTCTTTCTCCCCTTCCATTACCTTCAAAAATTATATCCATTCCCTCCAAGTTCCGTAGGTAGCCTTGGCCCCCCTCGTAACTTTCCTGTCATCTTCCCCTGCTTCCTCCTTTTACAAGAGACGGCGGCACAGTGCCAACAGTAGTAGGGAAAGAAAAGAGGGGACACTATTTCATTGTTCATTTCTGTCATTCCATATCTATTTGTATGAATACGATGCCATTTTTTTTTCTATCTCAATGCGATTGAATTGCAGGCCAGGTTCAGGTGGGCTGGCTCTTGATATCTATACGTCACTCATGCAATCGGATCGACCTAAAAAGAAACACGAAGTGGCAGGTGAGTTGGTAATGACCTGCGTCGAACAAGCGGTAGAAGGAGGAAAAGCTTTATCATACAAGCCCCAAGCCTTTTGTTAAAAATGAAAAAAAAATGAAAAAAAAAATGAACAAAAGAGACCGCATCAAGAATCCTCGTTCGCAGTCTCAATCTGCGCCTTCAGAACCCTCTGTTCATTATCGATCTTATCATTCGCCTTCCTAGCATCAAGCAGGGCACCAACACTAGCCTGTAACTGCTCAAACATCTGTACAGTGCGGGCTGTGGGCATTGCCAGCCTGGGTGAAATCTCCAACTGGGCCAGCGCCGCCTGCACTTTCTGCGCGGTCCCGCCCTTGACCGTGGCTGCCACCATGGCGGAGCGGAACTTAACACCCGGGGTGAGCTTATCATGGTAGGTGACGCCGAACCCTAATTCCTCCTCCGGGGTGAGTTTGCGGACTTGCTTCTTTGGCTGCAGTGTATCCTTCTGTGAGGGACCGCTGCCGCCCCCGCTTGGACCAAACCTTTCCGCGGAGGTTGCTAAGGCGGGACTTTGTTGCGGGCCATCGGCGTTGCTAGCGTTGTTGCTGGCCAAGGCTATTGACTTCCGTTTTTTGTTCTTGTCGGTGCTATTTACCATCATTTCTCGGAGGTGGGCGAGCCCCTGGCTGCCAGTGTACGCTGCGATGGAGCCTTGAGATGCTGGAACTTCCAATCTGTTGAAGAGCTCCTTGCGCTCTTCCAGATTCTTTGCCTGGCCCTTTGTTATCCTTGCCAACTCGACGAGTAACATCTCCTCCTCCTTCACCTGATCCGGGGCCCGGGCGAACAGCACTTCCGCCATATTCTTCCTCGCTGTCTCTCGCTCTTTATCAAAATTCAGCAGATTGAAAACCTGCGTCTCCTCTGGTGTCATCTGGTTCAGCGGCGTCCGAAGTTCCATTAGGCTACGACAGACAGAGTAATAACGTGCCTTGATGTCCTCCACTGTGCGGGGCCTTCCACCGGCGAACTCGTATCGGTCCCAGACGATGACGAAGCGTAGGTCATATTCGCGACACAGGTCGAAGAGGTAGTCCGTCTCCTTCCGTGTCCAATCCGGGTCTTTGAGGACTTCATACTCGCCGTCTGTGTACACGGGTACGTCGACCCTGACGTTGAATTTGGCGAACTGGTATTCGAGGTCTTGGGGGTGTTCGGTCTTGCGTTCCCAGTGGTGGAGGACCAACCCATCGGATCTAGAGGGGTTTTCGAAGGACTTCCAAACCCTGTGTTGCTCTTGTGTTAGCATCCATATAGTAGGGCGGGTGGGTGAATGATGCACGATGGGGGAGAAAAAGGGTATATACCAAGGATTGACTTTTCCCATCCACCGAGGTTTCTCCTTGAACTTGCTCTCGACAATCGCTACTGGCGGGGGGTTTTCGCCGAGGAGAGCGAACAACTCCCTAGTAATCCCATCTATGTAGTAATTTTATCAGTATTTATTTAACCATGCTACTTGAAAGGTAATGCGTGCGAGAGCATACCCGGCCGCCGCTCCACCGTCTTCTGCTTCTTCGCAACAGGAACCCTTGCTGTGGCGTCAGTAGGTGCAGCGAGCTCCATCACATCGCGCACATCTTGGAACCCGCTCATAGTGTGTGGGTAGGTAAGGGAAGATGAGCACAGCGATATCCCGTTCAGCAAACAGATGTTAGGCGCGAGGTACGGTAGTAGTTGTAGCGATGGTAGTAGGGGGCGAGGGGTGATTGTATTGCAAGTATGATAATGCAGCTCAGATCAAAAGCCAACTCCACTCTTCGGTTGCCCTGACGACGTAACCCCTGTTGGCCACTGCCACCAACCAAGCTCTCCCCGTAACCCAGCACTTACGCTGATAACCTACGGTACACCCTCTCTCTCTCTCTTCACCTACAAACACCCACTCGCTCAATTACTCATTCAATCCCTCTTACCCTTTATACCCGCCATCTTCCCCCACACCTTTTTTGACCACCACACACACCCATATAGTAAATATTTACGAAACCCTTATCCATCCTAATCAGCAAGAAAACCTACACATTTATCCCCTACCTCTCTACCGACCTAGCCATGCCATCCGATCTCTCATCATCGTCGGCCCCTCCCTCATCACAACCACAGGCGTCGTCCTCCTCACAAGCAAATAACAGTATGGCCGCAACCCTCCCGCAAATAAACTTTGGTTTTGAAGAGCTCAAGGACCGGATGGCGAGGTTCACCGTGCGATTTGACGACTTTATCGAGAAGGGGCGTAGGAGGATTCTTGAAGAGAGGAATGAGTTTGCGAAGACCGTTATCGAGGAGAAAGGTGATATTGGCGCTCATTGAGTATGTGGATGCGGTTCTAACAGAAGGGAAGATACTCAGCGGATGCTAAAGAAGGAGATCGAACATTACAAACAGAAGGAGAAGGATGTTGCGGAGAGTAAGTCCCGACTGTCATCAGTACCTTTCGATATCCCACACTAATTGGTTGCCCAGATGCGACAAAAGAGCAACAAGAAGCCACCGAAGCTGAACGCGCAATCGCGGAAATGGACCGCAAGAAGCAGTCGAAGGAGGAGCACAAGTCTCACTTACTCGCGCAGATCGAAGCTACGCAGGAAGCCATCCGAAAAAAGCGAGAGAGTGATTTCCCCCAGTTCCCCTCCTGCCAGCTAAAGCAAGATATTAACATCGGACAGTTCGAGCGGAGGAGCGCAAAGCGCTCTCCTTCCAATCCTCGCGCAACGCCCCTGAGCTCGCCTTCTGGGAGGACCACCTAGGAATGCGCATCGAGGGTGCAGGCGTAACCGACCATCTCAAGATTGTGTATACGCATATCGTAGATTCAGCTTGGTCGAAGGAGTTTTCCTTCATTCTTAATATGGTCACGAGGGATTATGAAGGTATATTCATTCACCCCGTCGAGAGGATCGTGACAGATGGCTGACGTGGGATAGTCATTCAATGCCGACCAAAGTTAGACCCCGCTACCGTGGGGAAGTGGGTAGATCGGTTGAACGAGACCAGGGATTTGACGTGCTTTCTAAAGGAGATGAGGCAGTTGTTTAAGGAGCATTCCTCTGCTGGGAGGGAGTAGCAGGGTTTGGCACCAGGTAGGGAGGGAGGGAGTTTAATGGTTGGATGATATCCCGTGCCCCGGAGGTGACCTAGGATTCTGTCGCAAAATATTATGCATTTTAAAAACCTTTCCACTATCCCGTATCTACTTGATTGCTACCACAATGCCAATAATTTGGTCGTAAAATCATACAATTCGCTACCGGTATCATACGAGTGCGGCCGATAAATATAGTCGTCATGTTCCTTATCTAAATTTACGGACACATCGCAGCCAAAAGGTGCACCGAAATTTTCTAATCGGGCTCACGTGACGAATATATCTATCGGCCGCACTCGTATGGTGCCGGCACCTTAGAACCAACCCTCACGACAACCGAACTTTCCCAACTTTTCGGCGGGCAACAACATCACATATCATTATTTTAATTATTCCTTCTGTATAATCCTCCTAAAACATATGAAGAACACATTTACAGAGCAGATTTCATCCAAGGGGTGTGGTTCTTTCTATAATAGCTGTTGGGGTTGAGGCAAAATTTGGGTGGAGTGAGGAGGTTGGCACTTGTATGTGAAAAGTAGGTCTTTGCTGAGTAATACACCAACACATTGCCTAAAACAGTATAGTCAGATACTACATTAGGACTAGTGCCCGGACCCGGATTGCACTGAGGGTCGATTCTAAGGTGCCGGCACCATACGAGTATAATACATAGCCTTCACGCAATCTATTATCCTACTCTGCTCTCGTGCCGCGGTTAACTTACACAATCCCCAGCCACAACCAGCACGTTGTCACCTGATACCCGATAGTGCATCCAATGCTCGCCTCACCGCATCTCAGGTTCCCCCACCCCACCCCACTTTGTTCCACCTCACCTTCGTTTTCTCCCACTGCAACCTACAAATCGCACAAGACACAATGCTCAAATCCCTAACAAGAGCCCGCTCTCCTGTCTCCTCCCCTTCCTTCCTCTTCTGCCTCCCCCGGCCATTCCCTCGCCCACTCCCCCGCGCACTAACCACAACTGCCCGGCCAATAGGCACATTCACCGAACGCCGCCCCGACCGCCAACTCCCCGGTTCCTCCTCCCCCTCCCTCTATCCTCCCCACCAACCAACCAGTAACTCCACTAACGCCTCACGAACCCACAGGCCCAAGAAAAACCCCCATCGCAACCCTCCTCACAATCCCGCTATTCGCAAGCATACTCCTACTAGCGGCCGTCGGCCTCTTCAACTACCAGAAGTCCTCCTCGAGTGTTGTCTCGTCAACGCTCTACGCGCTCCGCGTGCACCCCGTCGCGCGAGAATCGCTGGGGGATGACATCTCGTTCAAGAGTAGGGTGCCGTGGATTCAGGGCACGATGAGTCAGTTACGTGGGGATATTGACATTGCTTATAGTGTCAAGGGGACAAAGGGAGAGGGGGTCATGCGCTTTCGGAGCGTGAGGGGGAGGATGGGGCTTGTGAGTGTTTCCCAATTTGCTATCCCATATGCTTTTGGGGGCGTTTTGGTGGTGGTGCTGGTGCTGGTGGGGAGAGTGGAGGGAGGGCTAACTGTGCGAGCTTTAGTTTGAAACGTTGGATTGGAGCCTGGTAATGAGGGACGGGCGCAGGATTGGCTTGCTCGATAATTCTGCGGTGGGCCCATATCCTCAGGCTGCTACTACCGCTACGTGATCGATGGATATAATGTCTGGACGGATCATGCACACATTGATGGAGGGGTCACGGTCTACGATCTGAGGTCTATGTACATATGGAAATTAAGCATGCGGAACATGGCTTGACACAATACAAAAAAAAGTGGCTCTCCATGGATGGCTGAGTGGATAATGAGCGAGAAGAAGTGAAGAAAAACTGTAAATGGTCTTTCGATCTACCTCAGGAACACAAGTGACCAACGGAAAATAATCCGACGCGTCCACACCCTCAACAAGGGAAGAAGCAAACCACATTCCAGTTTTACATGTCTATCGTCTCCTCAAACTTCAACACGCCCTCTTTACTCAAAACGCCGTCAACACATGATATTATTGATGGGGAGGGGTCATTTGCCGTGTGCGCTACCAGCACCAGGCCAGCAACCTTGACGCTCCGTACAAGAGCAGGTACCATTTCCTATAGTTATGAGTGATAACCCATGACAACCAAGAAAAACAACAGCACCACCACTTACCATAAGCCTGGACGAGCATATTATACCCATTAGATTATTGCTAGAGGCAAACCTGACCGCTTCCTTCAATGAGGTTCGACTTCTAGTGCTGGATGCTGTCCCCTGAAGGTCGTCGCCCGGCTCCTTTCCAAGATCATTGCAGTAGAACACCGGGTCTGCGCAGCAGTCAGCCAAAGCGACATTGATTGATAAGTGCGGAACTCCATACAGTTCGGCTGCTTCCAGTTCAGCGCTGTGCACACATTAGAATTAAACGACGAAAAAACAATCGACCGGGTGAGATCTGGTGATTCCTGCTTCAGCGCCCTGGCATGATCGAAGGCCACGGTCAAGACAGCGTCCACAAAAGAATTGGCGTTCATAGTCCCGCCAAGCCCATGATGCCGCTTTTCCGTGCACGTCGGGTATATAACGTTAAGATCAAGATGCACGTCAACCGGTAGCAATGACAACACCTCCCGGAGAGTCAAGAACGAGTATGCGAGAAGGAAATGTAATTCTGCCAGGCTTTGGATATTGGGTAATCGCTGTTGGGCTTCATCGCTCCCTGCTTGGGCACCAATCTTCTGGAATTGGGCATGAGTAACACTACAAACGGGGACTTCAAGCCCACTAAACGGAATACTCCATGAAGGGTATATAACCGGTACCCCATCGCTAGTGAGCTGGATGCAAAGTCGGCCATATTCCCCAGCTAGCGACGACCCAGTAACAAGCGCGTTCGGATGTGAATCAAACTGATTCGTCGCCTTCCAGTACGTTGCAAAGTGAGTGATTTCCAGTGGTACGCCTTGAAATGGATTGATAATCTGGAAGTCGAATGAAATCCGTCCGATGGCTCTAAGTCTTGAATCAAAGAGGGGCAGGACGCAATGGCCGGAGCTCTGGGCGCTAAAAGTATTGGGCAAAGCCACTGTGCGCGCGATGACCTTGGATCCAAAAGTAGGGTAAATATCAAAGTCAATGGTAAACATATCTAGTGTATCAATTTGGAAAGATACAACCTTCGCATCCTCGTTCAGAGGAAGAAGTATATTTCGAGGAATGAGATCGGATGACTTCGACGATATCGTAAGCCTTGCTGCAGGGTATTTGCCCTCGTGATAGAATGCAATTGGCTTGCCATCCGTTTCATCGAATGTGAGCTGAACGAATGTCTTATTCTCCAGGAAGTTATGCCCATACCTCCGGAGGGGAAGTATGGGAGGGGGAAGGGAAAGATCTGGAATTCCATCGGAATCGATAGTCATCTGCGTTCCAGATACCGTCGAAGCAATAGACGCCGGTGACGGCTTCATTGGAGCAGCAGTTCCTAAGCCCCCAAGTGCACCCCCAGCGGCAGAGAGTAACTGCATGCACTCTAGATGGCCCTCCCAGGCTGCATAATACATTGCCGATAATCCCTTCTCGTCAAGTATATCCCACCGAGCTCCACTCTCCAACAAAGTTTTTAAGCACTCAACGTGTCCCTCGCTTGCAGCATGGAACACAGCAGTCCACTGGAATAGCTTGTCCAGTTCATTCGGGTTTGCCCCATATTGCTTCAACGTCATGAGAAGCTGTACGGACTTACCGGACCGCGCAACCAGGTGCTGCGGAAAGAGCCCTTCCGCATCGGGTAGAATTCGAGCCTTGTGTTGCAACAAGATCTCAGAAATCTCGCAATACCCATGTTGACAAGCCAAATTCAACGGAATATAATCCTTCTCATCCCGGGGGTCTACTCTAGCATTGCAATCGATTAACTGACGAACAACCTCTTGCTGATTATGTGTTATGGCGTGTATCAGAGGTGTAAAGTTGTCATGATCCATAGCATCGATTGTCGAGGGCATGACATTAACCAGTAGCTGAACCATCTCAACATGGCCATGCATTGCAGAATAATGCAGAGGAATCCGCCCATACACATCCGCCCGGCTAACATCAACATCACGCTTCAACAGCTCGCTCAGCACCGATACCCTCCTTGCGTTCGCCGCTTCATGCAGACAATTCCTCTCGTTTATCTCGTCCTCGTATTGGAAATCCACCAACCCCGAATCCATCAACACCCCTAGAGACTCCTCGGATCCTTCCGCGATTGCAGCAAGAAACGTTCTTGTCACGGCTTGCTGTGGATTCCCCGATGATTTTAACCTATTGATCCATTCCTTTAGGGCAGTTGTATTTTCCGAATACACCGCCTTCAAAAGCTCTGTGTCCTCTTCCCCTTCAACAGAACCTAGGGGTCGGCCGTCTGTCGATTGCTCACTAGCTTTTCCATCAGTAATGTTCTCTCCTTCCGCCCACGCCTCCAACTCCAATAAACTCGTCGTCGCCTGGTCAGAGAGCTCAGTAATAACATCTCTGTTAAAACAAGGCTGGACTTCGACAGCTCTAGAGAGATACAGCTCTTTCGTCCGTGACTAGAACGCAACCGAATAAGCGCCGTGCCTAAAATTACACATTTGACCCCCACCGCCGAAGCTACAATACCTTTGACGATTTATCCCACTAGAAGCCTTATTAGCAAAAAAAACGAACCATAGCACATGACGGAGATGCTCAAACCTTCTTCAAAATCTTTGAAAATGCGGTAGCGTTGATCTCGACAAACTGCTGTAGCTTATTCAGGTCGTTCTCGAATTGTTGAAACCCCTCCTGTAGGGTTATATAAGTCGCAGAAATCTTCGAAGTAGTCTGGCTCCTCGATTGCATGATCTTCTTCTTATCCGTCAGGGTCTTGAGCCGTAATTTCAGCTATATCCACACCACCACCACCAAAATTAGTTCCCAATATAGCATTCAAACTACAGATTCTAAAGGGCAAACCTCTTCCTCCTTCTGCAAGTAAAAGGTATTGACCTTCTCCAACTCTCGTTCCTGTGCCCCTTAGCTTTTTCCATGTGAAACCACGGAGGGGGGGGAAGGGGCAAACGCACAAGTCTGAAGAAAAAGGTAGCCCTGTTCGCCTGGAGCGTAGCCCGCGGGTCGCTTAAGGACCGGCCGCCAGGGCTCTGGATAGGCACCGGAGGTGCACCAGGCCCCACTCCGACCCCCAGATGCTTGATAAGCTATATAGATACCGTCAATCAGTACTAAGCTTTGTACCACCACCAGGGAAGACACAACGACCACGACACAACAGTGGGGGCGGGGGTAATGATAACCCAAGGGGCCATTTGAGAACGAGGTAGACGGAGGGCATCCAAACAACAGGGAGTATTTCTCGGCCCAACAATACCTTCTTGAGGGCTTTGTAGTTGACAAAGCTAGCAGCATATTCGGGTATGTCCAATTGCCGCTTGGCCAAAGTCTTTCCGAACTTCCTGCAAGAATGGAACCAGGGAGTGGTTTGTCAGCCGGATTTGCACGTACGTCCTCTCCACTCCTGCCCTCCCTCTCCGCTCACAAACAGTAATAAGGGAAAGGAAAGGAGTCTTTCGTACATGCTGCTATTCCACAGTTGCAGATGATGAGGCTCCGGAGGTGGTGAGGAAACTTATGAGATACCACCGTCACGTGAATGTGTCGAGAGTTGGTCTATCCTTTTCTGGTTCCCCAAATTAATTTTGTCTCCCGAAGAGCAAGAAATTGGAAGGGAGGGAGGGAGTGGGCAACAAGTCACTAATGCCAGGCAGCGTAACAAAAAAAAAAAAGTAGGGGAACAAAAGGAAAAAATATTTAAAGAACTGGGGGAGAAAGCAGAGGAAGGCCGTCTGAGAAAAGGATTTTATTTAGGGGGGAGTGGGGGGGTATCTACTTGGGAAATCTCACCTTCTCAACCTCACTATTTCGCCAATATTTTAGCACCCTTGGTGCCAACAGAGTAACGATATTTCGGAAATCCCCCTCGCTCCTTTCTACCCCCGCCCCTCTGCCCACGGGATATCTCGTTTGCTGTCGGGAGACGCGGGGCAGGGAAATGCGAGTCAACTATATCGTGTACGATATCATACTACATGTCAAGCCAATGAACGGTTGCTAGGGAGGAACGTGGGTTGTGGGAAAATCAATCTAGGGTTATGAGATGCTGCCCATGAACCTCACTCAATAAGTCGGTTCAGTCAACCCAGGGCTTGATCCAAGCAGACAGATCCGGGCAAGAAAGTTGGTTGGTTATACCCGGGCTGAAGAGTCCTTTTCCACACGCCTTCATGGCATTGCATGGCGATCATGAGCGGGAAGGACCCTTCGGCTCCGGTGCATGAGAGAGCTTCCCACCGTAACTGCGAGGCTCGTACCGTCAAGTAATTGGACCAATGATTGTTGGGTATGGGGGTACGGCGGGCTTTACTTCTTCCATGATTGAGTCCACATATGATACCAATACTTTTTTATCTTGAGGCTCAAAACTGGCTCGGCTCGTCATTCGAACAAAAATAGAGTATCGGAACAGAGCCTCACTACCGGCATCACCAGCAATCGATATGATTGATAAAACCTACCCAATGAATCTTATGCGGTGTTTGTACCGGTTCAGCCACCTTCCAAACAACTGGGTAACATATCTAACTTAGAATATCTCACATCACAATTATTCCTCCACCGGAGCAGTACGTACAACGACTGGAGTGCAACGTTCCCGATCCCGAAATGGAAAGAATGACTACCGTGCACCCCCCCGACCCTAAATCTTACTATACCAGCACGATACGAGTACGGTAGGAGAGAGAGGGTGTGGCGATAAAAGCCTCTTTTAATCTTACGATGGGCCCCGCCTAAACACTTGCTATTAGTAGGCCCTTCACCGCGGCACCACAACCTCATATCAGCCCCCTCGTGCCAAAAAAGTACCTAGGAACGAATAATTGGACCTCGGGCCAGGACGTTGGAGCTGCTATTCCTAGTACTCGAGTAAAGTTTGTTGTGTCTTTTTCTTTTCTTTTTCTTTTGATCTGTGTTAGTGAAGGGCTGAAAGCAAATTCTTCTCGCCCCAATTGCCCCCTTAATCCAAAGAGGGAATTCTAGACGTCCGTGTGTGAGGTCCAATTATAGTTGTTCCAGTTTCTACGGTACAGTATCGTACCTATCGTACTAACATCCACCACGTATGATATACGGTACAGTACTGTACTCGAGTCTGTTGGTACGGTACTGGTACAGTACTCGAGTAACCACGCAGCGCGATGGTCAAGCACTCACAAAATTATTGTATCATATCATACTGGTACTGTACTCGTACGTCCATCCAACCTGCCAGTACCCGAATACCCCACGATCTGAAGATGCTTTAGACCTCACCATCTACCACATTCAAAATCAACCGGATCGACCACTAAATTACTACCACCACCTCTCTCCCGGCCACCAAACTTCACACGTCGCTACAAACCAATCAGTAAAGAGAAGCACGGATCAAGCACGCAACCAGCAGCCCGCGATCTGTAAACAAAATACCCAAAAGATGCCGTGCGTCAACTCCACGTAACTAAACCCCTCTCAACGGGCGCTAGTAAGCGTCCGTTGGGTAGATTGGGGAAAAAATTTTATAATCCATTTAGTTAAATCATCAATTTTATTTGCAACTCTAGCGTTGCAGGAGAAATCATGGAAAGTGCTCTAACGTATAGCCTGCAAAACTTCTAACAACAAAAAGACAAACTTGTTTTTTTTATATATAAACAGTAAAACTACAAACAATAATAATATTATCATAATAGAAAATTATTTGTGACTTATAGAGTCAGGTCAGAATATCTGGTAAACGGAAAATTCTTTAAGAACTGAGATAGAGGTAGGAAAGTTTGCTTTGCTTCTTATAATTTAGGTAACTTGAGTTTAATGGTCTGCTTCAGCCATTGGGAATTATATCAGAAAATGACATGTATCCAATGCTGTATCCTGTTGCAAGTGGCTATTAGGCCCGTACCTCTGTTGAGAAGTCCCCTGATGCTGAGCTGGGCAGGGTTACATTGAATTCCTTTCCTTTCTGAAGTACGACCATCTCAAGCCCCTATCCCTTCTATTGTCATGTAGCTGGATTACTTAGGAAGTGTTGGGCATACTACTTTTTTTTGATTTGAAATCATGATTGACTTGAAATCATGAATTGAGATCAGAGGATATTTAGTACACTACTTTTATATTCTGATTTTACATCTAGCTCTTATGTTGATTTTGTGTACCTGATTTGAGATTGAATTCTATTATACTCTCTTCAATTATAAAAAAAATAACAATAAAGACATAGTATACAATTTTCTCTTGTATTATAGTCTGGCCTGGCATTCATTATATGTTTCTGACAAACAGGGCACTAAGAGTAGGTTATTAACCACAAGTTAAGTTAAAATCATCTGCATCAGATAAGAACTGACTGGAATAGAGTTCTTTAAGGTTTAGCAACTTTGAATCATTCTTGATCATTCAATTTTAGTCCAATTTGGATCATTCCTTTACTAGGCTAATCAGGATGGCCTAGCCTATTTTGTCTCTACTTCTGAGAAATAGGGGTTTATAATAAAGCCTAGTCTAGCCTTCAGATTTTGAACTAATAGGTTTGGTTTTGTTAAGGATCCTACTGGATGGAGAGGTAGTATGACAAGTAATGATTCTTACTTTGAGATAAAGTAATAGTTCTTAGGCCTTTGCCTATATGACGTTGATAGTCAAGTCCTTTGACTTCTATCTTATCACTCCTATTCTTCTTAACTACTTAAGTCCACAATTAGGACTTACTCTCACGTTGTAGGAGAAAAGATAGTTTCCAGATTCTTAAAGTGGAGTAGAAAGCATAAAGGTATTTGATTATAAAATAATAGGAGTAGGAAATAAACTAGAAGAATGTGTAAAGAGCTCATACTCAGGGTCCTAGTGATGCTTTATATAGTCGACTCATACCTCATGTTACTTGAACCGTGTGACTTATAACTATGAGTCATGTGAAATCCCTTAGCTGACTCCTATGAGTCACTACGCAACATACCTTAAACTAATCAAAAGCCAATAACCAAGTCAGGTGCACGACTCGCATCACCTGAGTGAAACCCATGACTTATAATTTGAGTCATGTGTGAAAATCATAACATCGTCTGATTTACAATTGTGAGTCACGGTGGTGAACTGGTAAACATAATAACCTATGGCGTACTAGTGGGCATCATGTGAGATCCAACATACCTATAGCTCAGAATTCTGAGCTATGTAAAATCTGCCTCACTTAGTTATAGTTTGTGATATTAGCTCCCCTCTCCCTCAGGCCAAGGCCCATCGGGCTTATATCAGTATGTCCTCTGAGTCCCATGCTCTTTCAGCAGGGAGCCCCCACCTCTTTTCCTTGTCTAGCCATGCATTGACCCTTAATATTCTCGCTAAGGTCCTGCGGGCTTTCTTTTCTTCGCTTCTTTAATTGTTTTAGAGAGCTTTTCTCATCCTCCTTTTCTGCTCTAGCTCTCATTAGAGTGCCTCTATCTTCTCAGCCTGATATTCCAGCACTTTTTTCATTTCAGCCCTTTCAGCCACCCACTTTATCATCTCGGTTTCCCCCAGTTTGTCTTTCTAGGAGATATGTCTCGTTCTCCTTGGTTTTGCCCACTACTGTTTTCTTGCCCCCCTTCTCCTCAATTTCATCCTTGGAGTCAGTGTGACATATTCTACCAAAGCCATCAGCTTCGGCGTTGGGGACCTCTGGGGTGATCCCAGGGGTGATGTCCTAGGTGGCCATCAGTTCGATTCCCAAGGCCAATGGTCTGCTCCTTCTTTCACGTTCTTGTATACTGGCCACTCATCGTGGTAGCAACCAGTCCATGACAGGTTCAGGTATTCACTCTCCCGAGTGGAGGTTCTCTTTATTGGTAAATCCATCAGATTTATCCAACCTTCAGAGTTGTACTCCATATTAGCCTGGGTACTTGGGTGCAATACCCTGAGCTTGTTTGAGTGATGTGTTTGAACGCGTCGCGTTCTGAGGTATTTTGCAAGATTGAGGGAATTGGGAGTATCTTGAACTTCACCCTGTGATGGTCCCACAGGTAAGAGTCTGTTCTGTGTAGCTACAGGGCCACATACTTGGATTCAGGGATGTCTTCAATACTCGGTTGTTGGTTTTCTTGGGTAGCATTGGTTATTATTATTATTATTATGATATATCATTATGCTTATGGAACCCGCAGGTTATGAAGTGGCAATAGCATACATAAAGTAACCCTCAGGCTACAGCTCCGTGATTCCCTCTCTTACATGCTAGTAGCAACTGTTCAGGGGGCACAAGCCATGATGATGCAAGGAAATCCACCATCCCGCCTAAAGCCTAACCAATATCTTAAAGGAAGTACATGTAAAGAAACCTAAGCAGTCCTATTCTACCTCTCATTAGCTACCTGGTATGCGTGTAGGTAAGTGGGACACTCCTTGGAGGTAGCCATGTGATTGTTGCCACAGTTGAGGCATCTGATAGTAGTATGAAGGCAAGGATTGCTCTGAGTAGGGCAGTCTGATCTGCTGCAAGTA